GATAATACAATTTAAATAAAACACTTTAACGGTTTAAAACGCAATTAAAAATCATTTTCAAATAAGTTTAACTAATATATCGCTTTTAAACCGTTAATTTTTATTTAAATGTAAAACACTTTTATTAAATTTCTTATTTGAGGTTCAATTTTTTTACAGAATATTCTTTAAAATAAGTCAAGTTATTTAATATTTTTTTTACATTTTTGCAAATAAGCTTATAAATCATAAATGTTTATTAAGAAACAGTTACTTCCATGGAAAACGACATAGTATTGATTTTTCGAATTTCTTATCAAATCTTTTATTTATATCTGTTGATTTTACTATGTATATTATTCAACTCACAATTTCCAATCTAATACTTTTTCTAGGATTGAAAGTAAACTTTATAAATAGTAATAGACTAATAGGTAATTGCAAGACTTGCAAGACTTGCAGACTCTTGTAAGACCAGACCAGACCAAGACTGGAGCCAAGACCAAGACCAAGACCAAGACCAGGTGTATTGGCGCAAGACCAAGACCAAGACTGGCTAAGTCTGTCTTTCTTGTTGGCAAACTAGTGCTACCACAGCTTAAGAAAGAAAGCTACCGTAACACTTTGACTACCTACCTTACTTACTCATGTTGTAAATAAAAAGTCCGTTTAATTGTTCATCCTTTACGCCATAACTAATTAACCGTACAAGTTTTGGCATATGGAAATGAGAAAGAGTAACATAGCAAACTAATTTTAGAGAGCTTTTTGTTCTTTTTAGTGAATTGGCGCTCGAGCAAAAAATGGCGCAAGAAAAATATCCGTTTTTGACTGAGATTACAAAGGTGATTTCAAATTATTCTTCCAAATTCAATCTAAAGTTAAGAGTCCAATCAAAGTGATTTTGTTTTATAAAGCAATGATTAAAACAAAGTGCAGTTATGATAGGCAAAGATAAGAAAGTACGTAAGCTGAGCGTCAGTATCCATTACGCTGTGACTACGTGGCAAGTGGCAAGTTTTGTGTTCGCCTCATGGACGATTCATTGACGGCCCTCGTTACGCTCACGGCTGAATGCCGCCTTAGCACTTCTCATTATTGCGTTTATAAAGGCTCCCATAGAGAAGAATGATTCACTAAGTTTCGCTACGTTGCGATGAAAGAGAAAATGGAATTGTGCTGGGGCGCTGTCGCGTCGTAAAAAGTTCTTTTTGTTTTCCGCGAACGAGAAGATTAAGAACAGTTTTTGTCCTTCGTCGTTTTGTCTTGTTCACTTTCGAATGCATATCTTTGTTTTTGTATTGGTACTTATAATTATTATAATAAGTTAGCGAATAAACTGAATGAAATATCACTACTAAAATATTTTAGTTAGTTATAAAATGTCGACGGGTGGACACTCTATCACCATTATAAGGGTTATTTAGGAAAACGACCCAAGAGACCAATTAGTTCATTAAGGGAATTTAATATTGATTGTAGTACTAAATAATGACTTATTAGTGGGCTCCTTTCTCCAGTTTCCTGCGGTTTATTTATCAGTCTTGATCCTTAGTATTAATAAAAATTGCTCCATCAGAGAAAACGGGATTTCAGTTTTATGGTGATAACCACCATATTGAATTATAATGTTACATTTTAATTGAGTAGATGATATGTACGTACATAGTCTATAAATGTTTTAATTCTTCAAGTGAAATAACACTCTGCGAAGTCTCATTTAAATGGGTACTTTGAAGTAACAAAATCTAGATATGTCAAAGTAAGGACGGTATTTGTTTCAAGTTGCAGATTCTACAAACTCCATTTACAACATTTCTTCCTAAGAGGAATGCCGTCATTTATTTTCGTAGAACTCAACGTTGCATTTAGAACGCTTGACGTTCAGGTTGCTTTTTGTGTTCAGCTCGGAGCTAGCGGGACTGGCTCTAACTGACCAAGTTTTCTCATTATGCAAGTCCCTTGACTTAAGACATAATAATGCATGGTGTTTGATGTGGAAGAACGAAACTGATTTTTTTTTGGCACGAATTTTATACGAGTTGTGTTATGGTGGTGAACCGTGTTCCCCGTTATCAAAAAAACTTAACGGTTTATTACACGAACCCGAACGAGAGCGGTATATTGACGCATTTTAGAAAAAACAGTCCCAGCGCCTGAGAAATTTAATTAGGATTTTACCATTCACTGTTTTTAACACAACCTGCCTAAACTACTCCCCAGAATACTGCACCCCACTTTGGTTAGCCGACTTTTACACTGGTTTTATTGTCTCGCCACCCCTCGTAAAGACTCCTTTGTGTTAGTAATGTCTCAAGTTGTATTAGCACCGTGATGACTTTAGTGGGAACCGGGAATCGTTGATTTCATTGACCACAATACCGCAATCGAGTTATACTAATCGGATAGTTGATAACGAATCAAATAATTCAACTGTTTTGAATGATATTAATAGCTAAGGACTCTACCACCTCTAAAATTGAATTTACCGGCTACCGCTGTCTAGTGAATTACAGGCATCTTCGATCGTTAGCGGTTGAGTGTGTAAACATAAACCATTTCAGGGGAAATTAACAGTTTGTCTAAACTAATGTCAACAGTATTATAGTACTTTATTCACAGTAATTTTAATTTAAGATACAGAGGTAAGATATAGTAATAAGATCGCTTAAAATAATGATTTTAAAGTTAGATACTATAATGTTGCTTCAGCTAATAATAATCATGGTTAGTTTAAGACAATTTGTTTGACGTTGAATGAAAAACATTTTATTTCTCAATAATACTATCAATTGCATTGTATTTCTTTAATGCATTAAATTAATGAGATGCAACTTGCAAGCATAAACTTGGCATTTGAATATTTCAAATCTTTCTTGAAACTGTATAACGTTAAATTGTAAAAGGGCCGTCAAAAGTTCGACGCTAATAAATAATCGATATCGGCAACTTAAAGTTTACAGACAAAAGAACAAAGCGAAGTCAATTTGATTACTTAAAAGAAAAATTAAGATTTGAGAGTCTCATTTTGCGGAGCTATCATAATGGGATTTTATCCAGTGGAGTTTGGGGGTTCAATTTTAGCGTCGTAATAGAAAAGTTCAGTAATAACAGAGTGAAACATGTTAACGAAAGCGAAATTCACGATCTCGACTCAGTGGCGAACAGGAAATTAAAAGACAAAAGAGTACCGGTCGGAGCAGTTTAGGCTCGGAAATGGAGGGCGTGCCCTCCCCTTTGCCTCTTTCATCGGAGCCGCTTAACCACGACCACCTTCAAGTAAACCCCAAAAGGGACAACAAACGCACAGTTTAATGGTTCACTCTCGTATTGCTTCCACAGATCGCTATACGCAGATAATTATACGCATGTTTGTGTATTAGGTATTAGAATTTTTAATAAACGGTTAATATAGAAAGAAAGTACTAAACATACAAAAAAACGTGCATCCAATATTTCAATTTGTATTTAAATCAAACACTTACCTTAGCGTCACCAGCAGATTTGACTTTGACATTAAGGACACCCTTCATCTTCAGTCGTGACCCCACGTTAGCCTCATCACGACTGCAGCAAAGCCTGGACATGTGGCCAATAAATAATTAAAAATAAGTTACCTAATAATAATAATAACTATTAATTTAAATAAGTAGATCAAATAGTTAAAAGTGAACTATAAAACCTAAACTATAGACAGTATTATAATTATATCAGACAATATATTACAACCTATTTTCTTCTTATCACTTCACAGACATATAAAACGAAGTATTAATTTATGGAAAGTTTTTGGTTCATATGGCTTTACTCTTTTAAGTAAATGTAGGTAGGGAAACCTTTTGATTAATGTGATTTGGAATGTAAAAAGTACCTAACGGAATTAATCTATCCTAATACCGAGTCTGATATGTATCGTGTGAGTGTATAGTATGGTTTCTGTAATTCAGGCGCAATGGGGTAATCCATTCGTACCGGGTGATATCAAATTGCGGAGGGAGGCTAAGAGACTTCTCACGTCTTCACACGTAACGGTTGCCGTTTCTTAACTCCTCGTAAAATTGTATTCACATTGCGTAACGTGTTACTTTTTATCTCCTGAATTTGATTAACTGGTTACGAGATTAACATCCAGCGAGGCAACAATAGCTGACGAAGCGCTGGAAGTTCGGAACCCTGCTTCGTTTTCTAATTTAATTTGCATTCGGAATCAAAAACTTTTCGTGACACTGTTTTGCATTATTAATACTTTAGCACGGCGTGATCTCCCCGGAGGTACTGTAGAAGCCATAAATTGAATTCCAACCTTCGCAATTAGTTGTTCCAGCGCGTGAAAACTTTCGAGATCGTTCGCTTTCGTTAACAGATGTTACGGTGCTATTCATTATACATTCCGTCGAATTGTAAAGCCGAACATTTAATTTAAAGTACCAAACGCTCCTTTGTTAATAGCTGAGCGTTTTGGTTGGTATTGTGTAGGCATTGTTCGGGCGGCACAGGATTAACGAAACGGGTACAAACTACCGGATCCTATTTGAGTGTAGCGTTCTTGGTTCGACCTATACGTGTTCATAATAGACGTCTTAAGTACATTCAATCGGCTTGAAATTAATACTTAGGCCTATATAATTATAATTATACTTCAATAGGATAATATATCCTTTTAAACTTCTGAAATGTTCGGTTGAAATTCTTTCTGGAAGTATTTCGTCTAATTTAAATCAAACAACTCCACTCTTTCAAATGAAAATAATTGCGGCGGAGGGATACATTTGTTAAGCACTTCGTAGCTGAAATTAGATTAAGATTTTATCATACTGATAAGCTTATTACATTTTTGACTTTCCCCTCTCTGTTTTCAAAACTTAATTATCTGGGGTAAAATAATTGAATGCTTAATATTTTATAAAAAGCCATAAATACGCATTATCTTTAAAGACCGTCGCGTTAAGCGTCTTAGTTCAAGATTTTAATGCATACGTTTTCCTCGTTTCAGGTACTCAGTGGCGCGTATATGAAATGTTATGGGCTCACGCGGCGTAGCACACTTGAGCTGGGTGGTAGTGGTAGCTTGGGCATGGAGCGCCGCTGCGCGCACCTTGTGTCCACCGCGATGCGCATGCGACGATGCATTGAGAGCCGCGTCGTGCGCCAATGCAGGCCTCGAGATTGTACCCATACAACTCAATCCGGAAGCGACCCACATAAACCTCACTCACAATTCTATCGACAACCTTCTCTACACCTTTGGGTTTTACACACAACTAACAATCCTCGATATCTCCTACAACAAAGTGCAAGATTTAGGTAGTAAAAACTTCGATAACAACATCGAAATGACTCATCTCAATGTGAGTCACAACGCTCTGAGGAAATTAGATAAAGATACGTTCGTCGGTCTGAAAAGACTCGTGGACCTCAATTTGTCAAATAATGAGATATCTACTATAGATATACAAACATTCAAAGACCTTGCGGTATTAGAGAAACTCGACTTGTCAAATAATAAATTAGTGACTTTTGAAGCTGACACTTTTGAACCGCTTTCTTCACTGAGGATATTATACCTGAGAAATAATTCAATACTAGAAATACCATCGGTGAATTTGCTCACAATCATCAAATTAGAATTTTTGGATCTATCAGAAAACTTAATTCAGAAGATACCTAAACATGGAGTTCCGTATTTGAAGGAGTTGAGGCATTTGGATTTGAACAATAATATAATCGACGAAATAGATCACTTGGGCTTACACAATTTACCTTCTTTACGCCACTTAGACCTCAGCGATAACAACATGACCACGATCCCGACACCTGCTATATCGAAGTTGTCCAATTTGTCTCATCTATATTTGAGCGGCAATTTTTTCCACAACATAACGTCCCTCTCATTTCAAAGTCTCTTTCACTTGAAACATTTACATTTAAGTAGGATATTTAATTTAGAGAAAATAGATTCACGAGCATTCGTAGACAATATAAATCTACAAAAGATATGGATGAATGAGAATTTAAAAGTGAGAGAAGTGCCTCCAAGATTATTTCACGGGAACCCTAAACTGACCCATATTTACATGAGAAACAACGCTTTGGAGACGCTCGAGGCGTCACACTTCCCCATTGATACTTTACAAGAGCTCGAAATATCTGGTAATCCTTTCGTTTGCAATTGTTCACTAGTTTGGCTTTGGACACTGATGAGAGAATGTGAAATTCGGAGTAGACGAAACGGAAATTTAAGCACCATACTCAGAATTGATTACGATGACGTTAAATGTGCTGCACCAGAACACCTGAAGAATATTCACTTCGTTCAGATACCGGAGTCAGAGTTTGGGTGCTCTAGTGGCTGGGTAATTGTAGCGATAGTGGTGATGACAGTCAGCATCATCACCAGTGTTATCGGTGGTGTTTTGTATTTCATGGGGCCTTTGAAGAAATGCAAAGGAGACAAATCGAAGCAGGTTATGACGAGTGTCATGTTGAATGGCGACGTCTCTAAGTTAGGGAATGGTTTGGTGTACACCACGCGGGGCAGAGAAGCCGATAACAAACGCGAAGTGGATAGATATTTAATGATCGGCTCATCTGTGACAAACAATTTCCATTCATTAAATCCCCCATGGCAGACGATGGATAAGAATCCATATTACCAAGAAGATAGTGAAGAACATATTTATCAGCAGTTTGCGTATGAGACCATACCCCCTCACCGGACCCCTGAGAAACCACATATAGTGTATGTGTAACATAAGGCTATAGTGACGAAGTTAGCGACAAGCGCAACAAATTTCATAAGACATTTTGTTAAAGACTATCAGGAATGTGACGACGAGTAATAAATTATGCAATAATGTAAATAATGATATTATGAAGATGTGATAGCTCTGTACATAGAGATGTATATAAACTAGTTTTAATATATTTTCGATTTTGTACTTAACTCGTTTAGATATAAAAAATACTGTGAATAGCGAAATTTTCCTCAATATTTTAATGTACAGTTGAAATGTTAGTAGTTGTTAATGTCCTTAAGAATTACGTTTATTCTGCGTTACGTCTTTGTGCAAAATATTATACGTTTAAATTTTTCAAATGCCTATATATTGTTTAATCCTCTTTTAAACATTAACAATACCTTGTTTTTTCATTATATAGTTCCTTAAACAGTATGGGTAGAGACACCATGTATAGTAATTAAAATATAAATTCATGTAATTAAATTGTAGCTTTACATTATCTATATTTTCTGGAATAAAACACCAATAATTGATGAAAACTTTGTACAAAAATGAGCAATATAGAATACTTACTTCATATTACTATGATATTATAATACGTTAACTTTTATTATTGAGAGTATTGTTAAAGTATACTAATTGTATCTAGGCTAAACAAAAGTAATAATTCGCTTAGACAGACATAGCTGATGAAATTTTGGATAAGCTAAAAGCATTTCAAGGTCGATAATAAAACTGTAATTTTTTTGTGGCATTTTTATCGATTCAAACCTGCATTCATTTAGATTCTGCGTGTTTTTTACCTTGATTTTTGCAATTGTTTTAAAACCGTAATTTTAAATGAAAATGTTTTTAAAAAATAGCTGCAGTTTATCCAAAATTTTACCAAATAAAGTAATTATATTATGTATTAAATGCAATAAATCCAGTTGCTCTGATGGTAAGGGGTACAAAGTGAAGTTAATATGTACTTTATTTATTGGCTATTTTTATATTTATTTCACGAGACTAAACCATTTGGTTGAAAAGATATTCTGGAATTAATATTTTTATACTTAGTAATATGTATGGCTCACAGAACTGTCTTCGCACATTAATTAGTTTATTTTAACATCATATAAGCGGTCCTTCAGAATTTAGGAATCTAGACGCTAGATAATATTCGCTAAAATTATTTAACGGCCCAATAATTTATATACAAATATTTGATATCATTAACCTGTATACTTCTCTGCCTATCATACCCAAGGTTATAACATATAACTAATCGAATTAGTACATACAGTCATATGATAGAATAAGAATATTTATACCTAATACCTAAAACTTTTGTTATGAAACTTATTTAAATATGTAACGCATTGAAACAAAAGACAAATAAACCATATAAAATTTTATGATGTCTTATTTTTTTAACTGTACCATATAAACGGCTAAATATGTATCTATTTCATTTATGGATTTTTGGTTTCATATAACTTTTATTTTTTTCAAGTTAATCTTAAAAGATTCATATATAGTGTTGCGGAGATTTTTTTAGACCATTTATAGAGGAATCATTCTTTACTACATATTTTTTGTCTTGAATCGTTTTCGTAGCGTAAGCATGTGAAACCTACAGAGATGAAAAGTTTCCGCCGTTTTGTTACAAAAAAGAATATTAAAAAAAATGGCGGCAACAGTCTAAAAACAACACCTTTTTATATTTCCAAACTAAGGTTCATAATAATACAAGCCTTTTGAAATTTAATTTTATACCGTTCAAGTGTATGAACAAAGGTTCTGGAAAGTAAAAACCATTGACGTTGGTGTCATATTGATGTTAGCTTTTATGAGAATGTGAAACTTACTATTTATTATTTTTATTATAAAAAAAATCGTCAATAAGCACGAAGATCGCCGAGAAAGTATCTCCTAAGTAGTCCTGCCCAAGTCGAAAAATTTTTCAATTTATTTTCGATTTTTAAATTATGAAGGCACTATATAATTAATGTGCAATAACATGTGAAAAATATTAATGCTTTCAAAAGTATCTCCTAGTATCTTATAAATATCTAGTCCATGGGTATAATATATTTCTTAAAAGCAATGGGTACGTTAATAACTTATTGTAATATGTAATTAATTACATTGTAAGGTATACCGACGACAAATCTCAATTTCTCCGTATCGGCGCGAATTGTTTGCTCGAACGCAATAAAACAATTTAAACCGCGAAATGTGGAAATAAAGAGCAATTATACATCCACAATGACGCTTTATTCGGTTAAAATTGAAGGTGGGCGGATAAATGAGTGCTGGCTAATGAATTTCGGTTCGGTCAGGAAACAAGTTGATTATGTTAAAGTCATTTGGTATCCGGCGATGACATTGATTGGATATCTGATGTGTGGCGTTAATGAAAGACTTGTAATTACCATTATTACTAAGCAGTTACAGCTGCGTATGATTGTATTTACCTACATTCAATACGCAAAAATAGAAATATTATCTATACTAATATTATAAAGAGGAAAGATTTGTATTTTTGTATGTAACTGATAAACTAAAAAAGTACTGGACCGATTTTAATAATTCTTTTTTCATTAGAAAGCTACAATATCACTGAGTAGTATAGGCTATATTTAGTACTTGGTTACTATAGGCATCTATAGAAATTCTTACAAAAACCAACAGAAGGCGTAAAAAAATTAGCCGTAAAATGTCTTTCTTCGCATACGCTGCGAAAAATATTAATGATAGGACAAAAAATGTTCGACAATCTGTCTATGGTTTACGCGAGTAGTATACACATTTAAATAAAACACTTTAACGGGTTAAAACGCGATATATTAGTTAAACTGTTTAAAACGCGATATATTAGTTAAACTGTTTAAAACGCGGATATATTAGTTAAACTCTTAAAACGCGATATATTTGTTAAACTAATATATCGCGTTTTCAACCGTTAAAGTGTTTTATCTAAGATTTGGCATTTATTATGGTAGAAAACCGAGAATCATAGGATTAACTTAATGGAATATGAAATACCTAAGCCACATTACATCTAACATCAACCTATTTAGATATAGGTTCTTATAAATCGACAAAATGAAACCAAAACGCCATTTAACGTCACGGATTTTTCATCTGTGGACGATGGTTCGTGAGCGAGACCGGAATTTCGATATTCCTACCACATATTTAATAACCAGCTTTTAAGACCAAATCCAACATGTTTTATAAATCATAAATTGATAAGAAACATGTGGGTACCGGTGGGGATCGCACCCACGACAGATTGATCTTTGCCTAAATTATATTGCTAGAGCAAAGAGTACGTCAAATTATATAGGTACATTTAGGAAAACAACACATGCATTACAAAAAACATACGTAATACATACCTAAGTGTACAGATGTTTCGGACGAGTACATCACATATACACACCATAATACGGTAGCCATAAGGCAGACGTGCAGGTACACATTCAATTTGCACGGCGACGAGGGTGCTGAGGGCCTCCGCGGTGTTGCAGATCTGTAATGGAGATAAATGAATGTCAAAGCACTCAAATTACCACACCGCGTCGGCTTCATGTACAAAATTGCGCAGGTTACTCCCATATAATGGAGTAAACGTGTAAGGCATTTATATAGCAATTAGGTATTGTTTTAAACTCGACTTTATTTGTTGTTTGAGAATATGTGCTACGGGAGTAATTATTACAGTCGGTTTTCGCGAGAGCGCGAACACAAATATTGTAAGCCACAGATAATGTAAAACTCCCGCTAACGTGGCGTGCGGCGTATAGACTACATAAGACAGATAAAGGAATGCGTAAAGCGCACAGATTCTAAACAACTTACGTAAAAATATATGCTTTATGTTTGTTGTTAATTCCGGCACTCATTTTTTTTTCTTTTAAAATAATTGTAATGATTTTATAATATACACACAATAATATATTATTTCCTCAATCGATATACCTCGAAGAAATTTATCTCAATTCCGACATAATTCTTACAAACCACACTGATCTGTGTAAGGAATCTTTGCTGCATTCTGACGACTGTCCCTTTGGTACCATAACGAGTACTGTCGTGAAATAAATCTTACCACCCCTGCTGATACGCTATAGCCTCCTTTCAGGGAAAAGTCTCTATATTTCCGCGTTAAAGCCTTTTTATTTGGCGCAGTTTAATTGGATAGATCAGATATTTTCGAGGTTTTTTGTGGTATGTATAATATTACATAGAGACACGTGATTTATAAATTAAAAAGATGACAAGTATCGTAAAATGTATTACTATGAAATTATATAGCTATAATTCAAATAAAGGTTTTATTTGAATTATAATTTGTAGTTTGAATTTGATTTCAGAAAAAAAAGTAATTGTTTAGGAATTTATAGTGGCGCAGTCGTATCATATTAAACACAAGTATTTTGTATAAATATAAATATGAATTTCCATATACATATTTAAATAAAAGCTCTATAAAGTTGTATTTGCAATAAGTATTAGGAAATTCACTCAATAATGTGGTGATAGAAGTGTAAATAAATTTTACAGTCGCAGATAAACTCCATTACGCGTGTTTTACGAGTAGCACTTCCCTAATGACATGAACGCTATGAGATGAGGATATAAGTATACTTTAATATACATGTTTGAATTTTTTAATAAGAATTTAAAAAAAAAGAAGACTTGAAAAATTTAAGATAAACAATATTACTTTATATCTTATTATTTTATATACGATTATACATATAATCGTTTATCCAATTATTAAAATGCACAATGTAGATCTAAAATAGGAAGATATAGTTTTCGTAGAACTAATGAACTACGTTTTACAGGGCATGGGGCAGACGAACTGCTGTGTATCCGTCTTCTGTGCCTTGCCCAACCGAAAGTTGTTGCACTCCCTGCGAAAACTTTTAGTTTTCTGCAAAAAGTCCTTATGAACATATGGCATGTTAGAACACGTGTGATGGCGAAAGTACAGAATTGATGTGTGGAAATAC